GTTATTGAAAATACCGATGGCAGAGCCCTCAGAATCGCAGCAACTCAATCCACTACAGCACGGCAGACAGTAGTAAATACTTATTATGTTGAGGAACCAATGCTAGGATTGGGAGTTGCACAGATGGAGACATACAGGCTTCCATGGGGATTATACTGTCATATAGTTCAGGCTGTATTAGTGTGGAATCGAGACGTCAACAGGAGATGAGCAGTCTTGTACCTTCTGTGTTGTAACAACTTCAAGTCATATGAAGAGATTTTACTTATTTGTTTATCCTATTAACATTAATTATGTTGGAATGTCAAACTGGAAAATCCCTTTTAAAAACATTTAATTTAAAAATACTTTTTTAAAAAAAAGTTTTCATTGTGAATTGAGTGATAGTTTACATGGGAGAACATTGGTTTTACACTTATCCTTTCATTGCAATAGTTATCATCCCATCCATGCATCATCATTCAACAGTATTTCTTCTATTCCCTCTGTTTTTGTTTATTTGGTTGCTATTGAGGATGTACACAAAAACACTCAGGAATTTATAATCATTTAAACAACCAAAGGGCACATTTTGCAAGCCTGCCTCCTGGTGGTCAGCACCCAGTCTTTCTCTTTCCATGAGTCTAGCGTCCTCTGCTGCTCTATTGCTCAATGTCCTCATCTCTGCCTCCATCTCTGGTGTCACTGTGAAAAAACTTTGATACACAGAAAACTTGTCAGAGTCTCCATATAACATTCATTGAGCTATCCCTCCTCTTAACAATTAACCTAATCATGGTATAGTTATAAAATCTACAAAGTATTGAATTGTTTTCCACAAATGTACTTAATTGATTCTAAGATACTATATTTAATTTAGAAGCATCACTTTTGGCCAGAACATGGTAGAGAATAGATGATATAATATTAGAACTTGCTTCAAAATACCTTGAGTAGTATGTGCTCATTTACATAAAATAAAATCTTACTTGAGCACCTTCTTTATACAGCATTTTGATTTAGATTCTTTGGACTATTTAAAATATTGACTTCCATTAAAGACTATCAACTAGTTAGGAACAAAATACAAACAAAGAGAATTATTGAACATTCACAACTGAAATGAATGTTCGTAGTAATCGCTGAAGAGAGACCATAAAATGGAAACAAACATGTGGAAAGAACACATGGGAAAATGAAATTTTTGATCTCCAGCATGTGAAAACATCTCTACGATTCTTCTTGAAAGGTTCTTTCTCCCCCCAGGAGTGGATCTCACCTCCCTGCGCCAGATGAAACTTCAGAGACCACTGAGCATGTTAACAGATGTCAGACACTTCTTATCATCGGGAGGAAATGTGAATGAGAAAAATGATGATGGAGTAACTCTGGTAAGTTCATATATTTAACTCAAGTATTGATTAAATATAGAATTTGAGTTGATTAGTAAATAATAAAACCAATATAGTAAACTTTACGTATTTCTTCCTTGTTTCTGGTTCTAACACTAAAATGTATTCTTTGTAGAAATGTTGGCAAACACATAAACATGCAAGGAGGAAAATGCAAATGAGTAATGCTGCCACCCAGAGAAAGACAATATTTATATATTGATGTAGCTTCTGAAATGCTTATGTATTTTTTTTTTTTTTACAATGGAACTAGAATAATTTTCCATACTCTATTTTATCAATGTGAATTTTCTGATAGAATGATGATAGAATGCTTTTATTATATTTTAAGCTAAAAAAATAGGATACTAAGC